TCACGCCATACGCGGGTGAATTATAGGGTCAAATGAGTATAGATATACATACCAGTAGTGCAGTATATGGTAATTAAAAAAAAAAGCAGACAGAATTATGATAGATATGATATGCATCCAAAGTGCGTGGCAAATAAATAATAGGTCACAAGATAATCCGGATAAAAAATGTGTAATTGTATTTTTTTGTGCATTATATTTTATTTTTGATAAAATGTTTAATTACATTAAGATCATTATAACTTAAATTCAAAATTAATGATAATAAATCATCACACAAATAATTTATCAAATTTACCAATAATATTATACTAATATAACGTACGATTAACTTGTACGATTGACCATTACAAAAAAGATTAGAGAATTCTATAGTCTTTTGTAATTTGTCAATGTTAACAAATTATTGAAATAAAATAAAAAATTCAAGTATTTAAAATTAAAAAAAACACAGCCTGACTGACAACTATAGGACAATTCATTTTTATTACTTAATTATAATGGAAACTAAAATAATGTTAAAATTAATATGTTTTAACGTAAAACATAGGTTTAGATTTTAAAATACCTGTTAAGAGATTGTTCCGTGTAAAGTAACTATGCCGGATTGACGATAAGCAATATTTTGTGGACAACTGATAAGGATCAAGAATAATGAAATGTTATATTATGTAGAAATAATTTTGACCATAAGACTATGTTATAATCTATGATTTTAATAAAATTGGTACGATAAATATACTATGTTCAGAAATCTTTCCTAAAATACTACACTTACTAAACAGTTATGGGGTTTTCATACACCGTCGTATGCGAACGACATTTTATCGGGTTTTCCAGTGTAATGAACTGTAGAGTCCAATACAAACACTATCTTAACAGTATACGAAATATAGTAATTAAATGATTTAGACTTTAGTAAAACAAATAAACTGCCAAGATAGATTTGATTCAATTTAATATATCACTTTTATAAACAGTACTTGCACGGGTAAAACAAGTAAGAGCAATTGAATACATACTCGCTGTTTCATTGGGGTTTTATAGTACAAGAATGCAAGCTAGCATATCCTAATACTTGTGGTAAACAAGTATTAACAACGTCATTTACATAGAATTGAGTGCAATGATAAAATGCTTAAATGCTACTAAGTATTACATCTTAATTAAAATCTACCCAAAACAACAGTAAGCAATAATGTTTTACACGTGCCATGGTCAATATTGTATCTCAAGGAGATCTGGCCATTACACCAGTCTTATTTTTATAGGTAATTATGATAACATTGAGTGTAAATATGAGAGTAATGTTATTATTTTTTACTGCTTGTGGTGGACAAGTCGGATCATAAAAATGAGCTGACAACGGTGGAGAATGACAACGTATGTCAGGTACAGAGTCTATTGTTTCTACTGGATTTGTAGGTATAACATAAGCAATGATGACAAATATAATTAAAATAATACAAAATAAAACAGTTAAACTAAAAGTGATATACAATAAAATATTATGAAAAGTTAAAGAGGAAAACAATGTGTCGTGTATGATGTCATCAGAGTATAAGTCATTAATATCCAAGGTGGATATTGAAATATCTTTTAAGTTAGTGAGTTCTATACAGTGGCGTAAAAAGGTCATTGAAGGCCCGTGTGCAGACTAATATGGGCCCTCCAAAAAAAGTAAATAAGCAGTGATAAAATATGATTTATCCTTATTAATGGTTAGGTTAGATTTATTGTTTATATTCTACTTACTTTTAAGCAAACTAGTAACATTTAATTTTAAACAAATAACATCTTGTAAACTATTTTAGGTAGGTACATTTAAATATTATAAAAGTGTGATACGTTTATAGAATAATATTCAATTAAACAAAATAAAATATATTATACTCATGTTGTAATGATCACCACAAAATAAAATCGTTCCACATTCATAACACCATAAACACTTATTTAATTACTTATTAAATAGTAGGTAATATGCAAATATTTATTAATGCATGATATAATATAACACAATTTTGTTTCATTTTAATAATTGTTCAAAAACTTATTATAAAGTATAAAAGATTCAACATTAATCAAATAAAAACACTGGAATTACTTGAGAAAATTTTTCCTCCTTGACTTTAAATTTGCAAAGTCGTTTATAATTTTGTCAATTTCAAATTCTGAGGTTTTTTCTCTTTCAATATTGAGAATTTCAATATTCGTAAGTCTGTCTTGTGAAATTGAGCTTTAAAAGATAGTTTTTTATGAGCTTAAGCTTAGAAAAAGAACGTTCGGCAGAAGCGACTGTAACTGGAATAGTCAGAAAAATTAAACACAGCGTAAACACGTCATGAAAAGACGATGCCAAGTCATGTTCGATTAAATATACTGTTAGCCTAACATTGTTAGGTCTCTAATATTATGTAACACAGATGTTGAGTTATTAACACAAAGACAATTTCTTAAACATAAAAGTTGATTTGTAATATCTGAACTTAAGTCATTCTTATATTGTATGTGTAAATCGTAGGATGCTTTAATTATAGTTCGTTCCTTTATTGTAGTAAGATTTAAGACCTTTAAACCTTTCTTTAAGCTGAAACAATGCCGTGTCCAGTGTGGGATAAAATACTTTAACTTTAAAATTGTCCTCAGTTATAGAAAGTCTTCGGTCACAATCAACTTCTTCGTGGTACCTAACAGCAAATCTATTACGTTTACAATTGAAGTTGAAAGGTATTTTCCATGCAACACAAAGACTTTTGGCGTCTTCTACAATGTTATTATTATAATTAGCTCGTAAATTAGTTAAATCTTCAATGGCATTATCAAGTTGAACAACAGCAAATTCTATATTGAAACTCATTAACTGGAGAGTTTTAGATACTACATTTAATGATCGTAATATCCGTTCCCAAAAACTTAAAATTAATACAAACTCAGGTGATTCGAGCTTCTTTTTCAAGGAACTACCTAAATTTTTTTCATCAGATTTATGAGACGTAAGTAGATTATGAGTAAGTGCTTTGATAATGTCAAAATATCGTTCCATTAATGCGAATACAGTGTCGTGGCGTGTTTTCCCATCGTGTTGGGCAGACTCTCTTTAAGGTTTTCTTTTGAATTTTTAATTCAACGTCTTTCCCTAAAGCTAGTAAAGCCCATCTAGGTGCACTTACACTAAAAAAGTTGTAAACATCTTGAACTATATTGAAAAATGTCTGAACGTTACTAGAGCTTTTTGACGCATCTGAGATCACTAAATTGAGGTTATGAGCACAACAATGTACATATTAAGCGTTGGGAAAATCCGATCGAATTAAAGTTTGAACACCTGAGTGCTGTCCGCTCATAACTGCTGCACCATCATACCCTTGCCCGAAACACTTATTGACACTAAGACCAAACGTCAATAACGTTTGACGTAAAAGGTTTGCATAGTCAACAGCATGATGTTTATCAAGTACAAAAAATCCCAAAAACGATTCTTTGATTTCAATTTTCTTGTTTTCGTAGTTAACTAATACATAATGTATAATAATACTCACTTGGTCAACTTTTTTAATATCTTGAGTAGAATCCAGTATTATTGAAAAACCACAAGATTTTCTGATGTCATCACAAATTATTTCACGAACTTTATTAGCTAATATTTCAATTATCTCATTTTGTATTAATGGACTTAAGTACTTGATTTTGTGTTTAGGATTACTCACTAGATTATTTAAAATTGGATCAAATTCCGCTAATAAATTAACAGTACGTAACAAATTTCCTTCTGAACACTTTTCTAATGATCCAATTTTTCCTCTATGCTCTCTTAAGGCAGTATTTCCCGCTGTTAATGATAATATGATTTTAATCAAATGTAGTAAATATTTCTCCAAAATGTAGCCTCTTAACTATATTGCATTTCTAATTCCTTATCTATCGTCCTATTTTTCACCCATATGATCCGCATATTTGTTGATTCTAAGTGTTGAATTGATATTTCATGTCGATGAATGCTTTGTGAAAATGTTTCCAATCATCGATTCCATTTATCCATTCAGACTTAAAAGAAGTACTTTTTCTATTAGCAAACAACCAACATGATTCACAATAAGCTCTATCTAAAACTGTAGAATAGCATAACCAAGAACGAGGTATTTTTGAACCAGACCGTACAGAAACAAAATAGAAATTAGAAAAAAAATTTCTGCCATCATTTTTTTTTGGAAATTCAATAACTGGCTATGTAAAAAAGCATTATTTCATTTGGTCCATGTAGGACCAAATGAAATAATGCTTTTTTTAATGTCACTGTTTTCTACTTCTTCATCAAAGTTTGCACGATCAGTTGGATTAGTCAAAGTAAGATTTAACAAATTTTGTTCTGCAAAAATCAAATCATTATCTGTTAGTTGATTAACCAACCAAAATTTCATATTTAATATTATTTAAAAAAAAATATAGTTAGTATTTAGTATTTAGTGTACACAATATTGAATTTGACTTTAAATCAACTTTTCCTTCAAAATAAAAGATAGGTATGATAGTTAAAAATTAAAAATAATCACCAATATATTTTATTCAAATTTATATTAAGTTAAAAAAAAACTGTTTTAAAGATTTAATTTCGAAAATTGTGTGCCCAGTGCCCTAAGTCTTTTGATTTGTATCAACAAAAGTATTATTTTATACAATCTATTAAGAACAATTTTAGGGGATTGTACCGTTCTCCAAAGCTTCTTCTCTCCATTTTTTTAACATATTGAGCTAACGATCAACTTGATGATTCGAGTCATATCACTTAAACTGCGAATGAAGTTTTCGATTTTCTCGTTTGTACTTAAGTGTTGTTTTTAAATAAATTCAGTAACAGCTCGTAATTAACTAAAGGTAATATAAACAACCTAGTCTCATTTATAGTTGGTTGTGGGGAAGTTATAGTTTCATGAGCATTCTATGTATGCACTTTGATAGCTAATCACTACCTTCTTGTAAAAAAAAAACCACGGTTCATATGCATTGAAGTCAAGTTTATATTTTAAACGTGTCAACTGTTATAATATCGTCACTGTGCAATAATTCAATTTAGTGTAAAATATTCGGGTTCATTGCAACCTAGAATTAATTGTTTCAATTTGTTGATGATTTAACGTATGATACATCACTGACATAAACGCTTCCTTGCCTATTTTTTGTTGATCTGGAACAATTAAAAAAATGCTAGATTAAGATTAATATAACGAAACATTTTTCAAAATTTTTAGTCATTTTATATAGCGGATACCATAGCATGTATTATTGGTTTGTATAATTATTTTATGAAACAACTTAAGCTACCAAAAATGTTGTCAAAAACAAAAATCTATTTTTATTTTACCCCAACACTATTTTAACGGGGTGCCACTGAGAACAACTCGTCGTGAATCATAAGTTTTTAATTTTTTTGTTTGTCAATATCGGACGGTATCTGACCGTTAGCGCGCAAGCTGGACCGTTGTTTCTGTTGTCGCCATAAGGCAGTGAAATGCTAAGGCCAGGACAGGACGAAACTCTGCATGACCTGCGGCGAAGAGAATCACCAGACAATAAATTGCATGGCCCCTTCTCACTATGTTTTATGCTAGATTGGAAGAATGCCGACCACTATTCAGGAAGTGGAAAGTGCGAGGCTTACAGAAGAGTAACAGCCAAACCTAATACTTCCAATGACGCAAATATTATTGGTGTTATGATTTTCGTTTATCAATTCACAGTTATCTCAAGTTTTATTATATTTTTAACAGAAGTTCGGAACTAATTCCGGAATAGGTTCCTTGTTACTCCCTGTTGTAATCGTTCCGGAACAAATACTCCGGAATTCGCTCCTTTAAGTTAATCGTTCTGGAGAAAATACCTTGGAATTCGTTTCTTAAGATTTTCGTGCGGGGCAAATAAAATATACCTAATCGTTCCTTGTCATAAATCGAGCAAAATGTATGTTTTACGTATTATGTTATTTCGTTCTAGTTTTTACATTTCTCTCCTTACCCAAAACTTTTAATAAAAAATATAAATCTTCTTCTTCTTTATCTTCGCCTTACACTCCCAACTACATGCGGTCGGCCACCATAGTCCTACACCTCCATAGAACTCGGTCTTCTAAATCTCGTTAAATCACTTAACCTAACCTAACCTAACCTTTACTCTCACCTACAACTTCCATCGTCACCTTTTTTATAGCATTTACTACCCTATTCCAAATTTCATCTACATTTCCCTCCATGCTTCAATTTACTTCTTCCTTCATTCTCCTCAGAACCAACTTTTCTTTATCACCCGCTAACTTCCAACTCCTAATCTTTGGCATTTTATCTTTCTGCTCTTTTCTCTTGTTCATACTGCTTCCTTCACACCAGAAATCCATGACCATTAACCTATGCTGCGTTACCACACTTTCCCCTGGAATTACTTTACAATCCACTATTTGTGATCTATAACTTTTACTCTTGTTAGTTATATAATGCTCTTCTCTCTTCCTATAAAAATTATTCACAACTGCCAACTCATACGCCTGCGCAAAATCAAGTACTCTCTCGCCCATTTCATTTCTTTCTCCAAAACTATAACCTTCGTGTACTCTTTCATACCGATCACAATTTCCTCTTGTCCCGGTATTCCTTGCACCACCTCATCCATCTCTTGCCAAAATTCTTCCTTCAAACGTTCTTTACGCCCTACTTGCGGAGCGTAGCACTTACTACATTCAATACCTTACTCCCTAAAATTAATTTTACTATTATTACTCTATCACTTTTCCTCACAACTCCTACCACGTTTGCTTTCATCTCTTCATCCACTACCACTCCCACACCATTCCTGGTACTAGACTTCCCTGACGTGATTTCAAACCAGGGAACATATGTTCTTCCCCTACACCGTTGACATCTCGAACGTTGGGTAGACTCGTGCACATAATAGGTGCATCGGCTACCGCACTCGCTGTCGGGCCGGTACTCGCTACACACATCCGCTGGCCATCCTCCCCTCCAAATATATGGCTACTTCTAGCCCGTTGCCCCGCGAACATCCGAGATCCACTTTACACAGGCTGCCAACCTGACCGCATTAGAAATCATCTTGCATGTTTTATCATTTTAGCCGTTATGCTTTAAGTAGACTGAAACTTTTTTTGTTGGCCGAAGATACTATAAAAAAAAACTAAATCAAAAAAACTGAAAATACCTTATACGACCTTAACCAAAATAATATTAAAAAAAATCCCAAAAATTTTTAGAACATTCTTTTCATCGTAATAGCCATGCAGGCAAAGTTTCAAAAAGTTATGAAGGGATACTCCAAACGTTCGTTGTGTAGTGATCCCCAGAGGTGATTACTACAATATTATTTTTATTTGACGACTCGGCGATCACGAACGAAAGAAAGGAAACACTTCAGATTTGTTAGGTTAAACATTATGTTTAATTATTTATTGTAGGTACTTAAGCATGAACAAAATACAAATAAAATATGAATTAAAACTAATGTAAAAAAAAATGAGTGTTATTATTTAAAAACAACCAAGTTAACAAGTAGCAACCATTTACGATATACTGTCGCGTTCGATTACAATTCACCAACAATTCGCCTTGGCTACTTAGAAAATGATGTAAAGATAGTTAAAATGGGATAGAGATGATGAAATGATAGTTAACTTATTATACGGGCACGTCCTACGTGGGAACGTGCTTGTTAGAGCTATAACTTATCATCACGTAGGTTTACTACAGTTGGTAATTGGCGTTTTGACCCATATATAAATATGTATTACAATTTATATAGTATATACTATAATAAATACTAAAAACAATGTATGCGACTAAGATTCGTCAACATTATCGGTCTTTTAGTCATGAATTAGACTCGCAGTTAAAAAAAATGAAATGTATTGATTTATTTATTGTTAATTACTTTCTTATTATATACTTATAATGTAAGACTAATTTAAAGTTTAAATTAGTCACAATATGAATTCCATAGAAACTATTGGCAAGTTAAAACAACTATAAAAGCTAATAACAATAAAAGCTTAATATCAAAGCTATTATTATAGATCAAGGTACAATTATTTTGTAGTTTTCCGAACTTCTTAATTAGTTTATTTAGCTACTTAAGTACTTAGTAGCACTGTTGCTGCTGATACGTTAGTACTCAGTAACTTTAATATCTAGTCATTTATCACGTTGTGCTCAATTTACCCTTGATTTAATTAATGTATGGGATATGGGGTTACTATTTGATATATTCCTCTAAAACTACCTAAAGCAATACGGAATACCTATCGAATCAAAAATTACTCATTTAAACAAAATGGCTGACATTTTTAGAAACATAAAGGTTATTAATAATACCATGAGGCATGATTAAAATATACAAACAATAATATATAATATAATATAAATAGCATTTTAACTAAGGGTTCGAGGATTATTCTAACTGTCCAGTTTTTACATAATACTAGTGTTTTATTGTTTCACTGTTTCTATATTATATATTCTATGTAATAATATAATCTATTGTTCTAAATTGTAATTACCATATGTTTTTATCAATAGTAATGTGTTAATCACTTAATTTATTCTTGTTGTGCTATTTATTCAAATACTCGTTTTACTCTATACTATATAATATTAGTGTATAGTATTTCATCAAATCTTCTCGAGCAAAAAAAAAAAAAAGACAATTTAATATATTTGATTTTATTTGAATGGTCTGCTGCAGAAGAACTGTATTGTAGCTTATTCAAAAAAGGAAATGGAAAAAAATGTCATCTTATCCGCATGGTATATTACCAATAGTGAGAAGTAAAAAGGAAAAAAGTTAAATCAATATCTGATTTAACTTTGGTGTGTCAAAGCGTTCCATTAATACTAATCCAAATGATTTTTAGGAAAGCTGTTTGTTTGCGATGATTCGCTACTTAAATAATTACTTATTTTTTACATGATATGTGCTTTCTTTAGCACATGTCTTATTTGAGATTTTTACCATAAATTCGTATACCAAAACAGTTTTTGTAACTACATCTAATTATCTTTCAGGTAGACAATTGTCAGGCATTGTTGGTAGACATTGTCGCGTAGACAATGAAAATTATGAAACATACGTTGAATAGGTGTTACCATTTTTTTTTAATGCATTAAAAACCTTCTTAGAAAACATGTTAACCCCTGGCTTTAAAAACATGTCCACACAGACTGTGCTTTACTTCTTCATTCCGTTTTTAAATATTAAGGTTAACGCGTAAAACATAAAAAAACAAATATGATGAAATTGCATCCATATTGTCATCACTATTGATATCCGCAATATCAGTCCAATTTCTTCGAATTGTGTTTAATATTTAAATGCTAAGTAAAATACTGAATATTATTGTTATATTTACCACCGTTGAAATTTTCTGTAAACCAGGCATTCATGTGTCCATGTAGATCGGGTGTTACAAGTTCGGTCAATTGTGCATAACTCATGTAACCTGTTTTATCACATCCCGTTTTACACCATATCTCTTTTAACACCTGAAATGTTTTTGAGAATTTCATAAAATTTCAACCAACGAAATTTGTCCAAAATTAATTTTAGCAAACATAAAATGTCGCATGCAAGATGGGCAAAAACAATAATAAGTAATCAGTATCCAATCCCATTTTATTTAGAAGCAAAACCTGGGTTACATAACAAAAAAAAATATTGCGTTAGAATATTAGGTTTGTGTTGGAATAAAATAAAAAATTACACCTAAAAGTATTCAATTGAAATTAATTTAATTATTATTATTCCTAGGTTTTAATAACTAGTTATTTTTTGCTGATTTAACCTATTATCGGCGCGGCGGCTTTAATAGTGATTATTTTTTATCATCAACGCATAAGTGTAATTATTTGATTATTTATTTTAATATAAGTGACTACTAATATATTTCCACAGCAATATAGAATATTATATAGTTAGTGTCAATTAACGATAAATTAAAGTAGCTTCATTAGTGGAAGCTGTCACTATGAATTCTAATGCTAAACGTCAGACCAATTAGTTAGTTTTTTGTTGATTTATCTTTTAAAAGTATATTTATTTCTGGCAGCCAGGATCGATGAGGCAAATGTGACATCTGTGAACGATCTAGAAGCGCCCCGCACGAATGTGGGCTCCAGTCCCCTGTTACACACCAACCGGTTGAGAGACGTTACTGTATCAGCTAACATTCGTCCTTTGTCACACTCGATAGGGCTTGACCATTCTGGTGACTTCGAGTTAAAATCTCCAGCGACAATAACAGGTGTTTCTGCAGACCTAACGCTGTCCTACAGACAAGTTAAGAAGTCTTCAAACTCTTGTAGTGGGGCGTTCGATACTCGTATACCATCTATCTGCACCCACCTGAAACCCTGCTCCGGCGGGCCTACGATGTCTATCGGCAAGTTAGACGCCACAAACACTGCCGATCTCCCTGTACGGTCGCTATACCATCCATTCTCCTGATTTCCGTTCTTATATTGTTCGCTGACAATGATATGATAATGTCCGCGTTTATCACCCGCGCCTCATGAAACATCAGATCCTGAGCCGCTCTGCACACTCTGACGTTGATTTGTAAAAAGCGGATCATTGGGATGTACCTGCCTCCAACTTCTCTCTAAACGCACCACAGATCTCTACCGACTCCGTGCAATCCTTGGCCAAATGGCCTGTCTTCCCACATCTGCGGCAGTATCCACTCCTGTCCACGCCATTACACTCACGTGCCTCGTGACCTGAAGACAAACACTTGTAGCAGCGCTTAAAGTCATGCCACAGACGCGTCTTGCACGAAACATAGCCAATCTTCAGTCTCCCCTGCGAGATGATCCGGTTGACGACGTCCTGTCCAGCAGTGACCACCGCCATCTGTAGGCCCCAATCCTGCTTGGTAAGCGAGACTTTTACCTCACCAGGTTCTTGCCTCCGCTCCCCTAAATTGCAAGTCCGCTCGCTTCAATGGCTCTAGCTTGTCGAGGAGAAGACAGGTCGCATCCATTAGGCTTCCCATTGCATCCTGTACCCCTTCCGCCAACACCCTCTTCAACTTGTGGTTGGGATGACGCAAAGCTTCGATCTTCTCCCTAATTATGTTCCCCACGGATGTTACTTCCATTTCGAGGCCAAAATAAATCGTCTTCGCTTCCGTGGAGATTTTGCCCATGCAATCCCATACAGCGGAGCTGTTTTCAGACATGATGGAAAACCGTCAAATCCAAAGGTATTGACGGTTACCAAACACGCTGTATTAGCGCGAACGACTCGTAAACCGGAACCTGGGGCTATTTGTCTGCGTACTATGCGCCTGCCGAGTTTTAAGGCCGCAGACCCAAAGGGGGGGGGGGGAAACGATTTTTCAGCCCTCTCTGGTAGTCGCGGGTTTTGCCCTAACCCTTTGAAATTTGGCAGGGACCTTCAGGCCGTTGCCTTGAGCCGGTATGCAAAAGTTGGGGGCTTAACCGCTTCCAGTCGTTAGCTGCTGGGCAGCTGCCTAATCCTCGGATGTCAACTGCTGCCAGACGCGCAGTTTTTGTCCGATCTACCCGAAACTCGGTGCCTGGCAGTTACTGACCACTACCTAGGTGGTCACTAAGTTTGGTTCTTCTAGCCCAAAAGGGGGGAGTCGAATTTTTGACCGCCTCTGTGCGGCGCCAAATTGGGCCTAACTCCTCGAAATTTGGTAGAGACCGTCGGACAGTTGTCCCAAGCCAGCGTGCTGAATTTGGGGAGAATCACTCCAGCTACCAGCCTAAAATCTTCTTTTTCTCGTACCCAATTTTGTGAATAAAAAAAATATGAAATATGAAAAATATATAATTTATATGTCTGCTACCCTCATGGCCTTATAACTATTGTAATTATCTAATGTAATAATAAATATTATTCATTTAACATTTTTTAATATGTCGAGCGTATTTATAGATGTATTTATGCAAACCGAGACGAACGTTACGTTACGGTTTTTCTTCGTTGACCCCCAGCGCCCAGGCGTCCCATAAGAAGCATAGCTTCAAAAAATTAAAAATAAATATTTAAGCTTAATTTTATAAGTTTTTAATTTTTACCAACAATATAATTGCTGATTTGTTGATTTATTTGGTAAACATAATATTCTGAGAACCCCTGGTTTGGCGTTTTTTGCGCCGCCGCCGTTGTGCCAACTTATTTGGCAATTTTTTTACCAACTACTATAATAGATTTCCTAAAACGCTTTGCTGTATTCTTTCCTCAATAAAAAATTGGATTTGTAGGTAAACTCGTCCAGTATCTAGTTGAAGTAGTGTTACTGGACACCCCCTTCTTTCACGTTGTCCTGTCATTGTATTATATTTTTTTTTCAAATTTACTTATTGTAACTAATATTACAGATTGTAAATATATTTTTAATAAAACAAATTTTAAAAAAACTCGTCCAGTTCATCTTGACACCTGGCGACCGTTACGGTTTAAAAGTAGTATAAGTGAAGAGGTGCTACCAACATAGTTCTTTTGATGGTTGTGTAAACAATTGAGTAATGCAGTTTTTAAAATAAAAAGTTAAAACAAATGCTATTGATATTTGATTAACTCGTAACAAATGCCCAATCTTAGTCAGAATAACTAAACAGTGGACCGTGATTTCATATTTCCCTTTTACTGGTAACATTAACGTCCGACCATAAGTTTCGAACCCCTGATCTGTTCAGACGCGTGACGTCACAGTGACAAGATAAACTAGACGTATGTCACGAAAAATCAGCTATAAAACAATGACGCTTATGAATATCACTACTAATTAAAAGTAAATCAAAATGTTTTGGTTTTTTAGCGTCGCAAACTATTATTGGATAAATTAGTCCATAAATATTGATAGATACATTATTATTTGAAACTTTTTTAACATCTTTGATTGGACTTATTTTACACAGCTTAAATCTAATTTACCACTTTTCTCTAAATAACTAAAATGTTTTTTAATGAAAAGTTTGTTATGTCATGATTAACTTCGAATGATTATTGATACCTGAATTTGAGTATGTGAGTTAATAATACCCAACACATCTGTTTAAATTATTTTTGAAAATATGAGTAATCATAGTGTGCATTATTTACACTACTACATACACTTCTTGATAATACCAATATTGTTCTTATAATGTAAAGAAGTTTCACTTAAAAAAAAAAAAATGCTAAATCATACATGTTTTAGACTATTGCTAAAACTATAATTACCGTATATGTCGCGTATATTTCTTCAGGGTCGTCTAAATGATCTCCGATCCATTCCAAATCCGATTGTCCCGTCTGATAATTAATAATTATTAAAAATACATAATATTTTAGTTAATTGGTCAATTAATAATATTTATTGTAATGTATTTTTTTTGCTGTTGTCATTACAAGGCAAATTTACGCCGAACAACAAAATGTCATCGTATTTATTTTCGCAAAAAAAAAAAATGTACTTATTCTAAAATATGCAATAATCTAAATTTAGGCTACTGAAAAAACTATAGTTACCTGTGCTAAATCGTACTGAGTGAGCCCCCAGTCTCGTGGGCCAAAAAGAAATCTATATCTTGCCGGAGGGCCGACCGTTTTTCCTACCTGACAATATATAATTATTATAAACACATAGTAATTTCGGCGTCATTCTTTCACCTGTGGTTGTAATTTATAAAATAATTATAATGTTTTATTTATGGAGCTAAAAAAGTTTAACAGCTGTTATTCTAACTTAATAAATAAACAGTAGTAGGAACAGTTATTAAATTAAGCAAAATATAGCGAAAATTATATTTATTTCTATTATTTAAAGCCGCTCAAGTTATTATGTCGGGTCGCCAAGAGCTTGGCCTTTGCGACAAAGATTTTAATTATAAGTCCTTATGCTAAAATAATTATTGTTTCCTAGACTAAAATGGCTATATAGGAATACTTTAACCTGTATATTATAAATGATTAAGCAAAACTTCGACAAAAAACTAATAGTTTTAAACAAATAGTTTAAAAATAATATCAAGAATTACTTCATTTTCAGTTGGCTCCGGTACAGTACTAGTATCTGTAGCTTCATAATCTTTTTCAGGATCTCTATGTGAAACTCCCAGTACAGTATTAGAAGCTAAGATAAAGGATAGCAACGAAATAGAGAACTTGAAGGTCATTGTAATATTCTGTGAACTATTAGCTGAAGTTTAACTGAGAGACAAAACGAATGGTTTTTACTATCAGGCATTCTAGCCTAGTTTTTTTTTTTATTGAATTGCAAAAAAAAACTTAAATTATACAATTACATTAATGTGTATGTCTCTAATTGCTATTGAATTTTTTAGATGTCGCATTGATATTTAAATTTCATATTTGCACAAGTATATAAACAAATATATTTATTGTGTGTAAAAACCATACAATAATGTCAAGGTCTTTAACGCAAAGATGATCCCGTGTACAAGATATAGACGCAATGACTATGTGTACATAGTCATTTGTAGACGGTGTCGTATTAGAAATTCAATATTTGTCTAATCGACTATGTGTACCTAACTATTTTAATACTTTTCGGCATATACAATTAATAACTACCTACTAATAATAATTACTATTTTAAGTCAAACCAGCATTTTGGGCTTTTTTACTCTTTATTAGTATATAAAAGGCACAAACTTATGTTAATCTTTCTAAATTCATCCCTTTATAACATTTTAAACTTATAATATTATTTCGCTCAACTTTGATTTTTTTTTTAGTTTGTGTGGGTACTTGTTATAATAGTTTGGAAAATTGTGATAATCTTAATATGTTTTTTTTTCAACTGCGTCATATCGTTTAATCATTTATAAAAAAAAAAAAATATAAAAAATTTGTATTATTTTCTGTAAGTGTATAATACAACTTTGTGTTACATAGCCATTTGTACACGTTTTCTTATAAAAAATAAATGTAACATCTGCCTTATAAACTATGTATAATCATTACAGTTGTGTAAAACATTTGGGATTACACATAACAATTTTTTTTACTGCGTGACGAAAAACTTGTATTGAAAAAAAGTTTTAACAAAAAAAAAAAATGAAATATATTGTTGTTTTGGCTACACTACTATTCTGTATAGTACATTTCTTAAATAGGCATATTTTAAATTTTGATAATACTTAACATTCTTTTAACGCTATTCTACTAATAATGAATTTTAATCATTATCAGTCAACCTTATTATATTTATTGAAAATATAAAAGCTTTATGCAAAAATTATCGCTTTTTATAAAAAAATGTAGTCAAATACTATATTTAATAAAATATTGTTTATTCTATCCAATTACACAATTTGTAAAATTATGCTGTATATTAACTGTTTTTTCCGAACCACTACTTTAATATACGAACGTCTTATTACAAATCTTTGTCTAAATCAGATTGTAAAACTTAACTAATATTTTAATTAAAAAATTATTTTTTTTGGTCATGAAAATTAGACTGTTGTTCATAATTAATGTTTTAATTAAAGGTCTACATTATTTTGAACATTTAAAAAGGTACCCACTAAAATTGTATAAGTAGCCGAGGCGATCAAAATATTTTTTCATTTCTAGCATGAGTATTATTTAATACACATTTTACTTAACAGTAAAGTTCAATAAAATAAAATGTTGAATATCAATACTATTTAACAACGCATAAAAAAATGTATTAATATGAGATAAAGCATAAGCGTGCGCAGGTCCCACAGTGGTCAAAAATCAAAAATAGTCGGCCAAAATTATTTTTTTCACTTAACTCATTTTCAACCATCTAATATATAATACTGTAATAATATTTAAAAAAAAAAAAAAAATTGAAAGCACATTTTTTTTAAATTAAAAAAAAAATTGTATTATTATTTTTTTTTTTTTACATAATTTTTAATATTATTTTAATCATCACCACTACTATCATAATCGCTACTACTAGAATTTTCACAGTCTTCGAATCCGAGTAATAATATTTAACCCATGGCAAAAGTTGCTTTTTCTTTCTCTAACTTTTGCCGAGACTACTTATTAATGTATCCGATGACAATAATAATCTATTAAACATATCAATATTTAAATTTATTCTCGAAGTCTTTCTTGTATGCTTTAGTCTATAGTATTTAATATCTTTATTTCGGGCTTCTTGAGCTTCTTCGCTCATTTGCCCTATTGGTAAAATGAACGTACTATAGATGCCCCATGCAGCAAAACTTTGTGAACCGATGGTGGCATGTAATACCAGTCATACATAGTTGTATATAATATAGCCGTATCCCAACAATATTTGCCAAATAAATCCGCATTTACTGTGTAACCGCATGATAATGTTTGTAGAATTACATTGCAGCGAAAAATTAAATTTTCATCAATACCCGTAATCTCAGATGATGTTTTATGGTTCTTAAAAAAACGTCTAGCAGTTGTTATATGATGACCACGTCATCAATATAGATTACATGTTTTTTAAATAAATGCGGGCAGTGCTTCCGGCGACTTGAGACTGATGACCAAACAATTAAATTAACAATAACGCTGACACTCAAAAAAACGTATGTAGGCATGTAGTGTTAAAAGTCCAAAAGTAAATAATTATATAAAAATTAATTAAAATTAGATTTTGTGATGTATCTATGATGATTTTTACAACATATTTTGAATTTTTTTATAAAAACACTAAATAAAAACTTACCTGTTTAAAAAAAGACGCAGCTAACACTTTAATAACTACTTGTTTCGCATCATGTAGCTCTACATTATGTATATCTATTTTTAAAATATTAAAAATAAAATTTTGGGCGAATGACTTTTTTTCAGCTAACGACTGAAACGACTTATTAAATATTTGTTCATGAATATCAATACGTTTAACTACAGGTAAATTAATTGCAGCCTGCATGTTTACGGAAAGGTCACAAAATAAATGAAATAAATAAATCGCTAGAGTTCCGGCGTTGCAGTTGCAACGCATAGCGTTCTCGGTGCAAGTTATATTTAAACAGCTCGTTACCAAAAAAGCGCAAGATATGAAAAGAGTTTATCATTGAGCAGATAAGCCTTTACAATGTAGCGTAAAAAACGGCGTGAAGTCTCGTGAATAAACATAGTAAAATCGTAATTTTAGATAGCATATAGTTCTATTTTTAGACTCTTCGTTGTGTACAGTTATTACTTAATATTATTCGACCAAAATAATACTAATAATCATTGAAAATCGTTTATTAATATCTATACTAATCGTAATTAACAAGATTTCGAATTTTTTTAATGTTAAAGCTATACATTTTAATTTAGCAAAATTGGCGGTAATGAGCGGTTATTTTTTTTTAAACGATTATTACCAATTTAAACATATTATTTCCCAACAAAAAATCTATGAATTAAAACTAACTATTTGAAATTAAATAGCTCAAACATTCTCAAAATATGTAAGCACAAAAATATATGAAAAAAAAAAAATGTAGGAGGGGTTTTGGCCAACTATTTTTGATTCCGGACCACTGTGGGTCCCCTTGGCAAGGGAAGCAAGACCGTTGCTAAAGAGGTCCAGACTTTGGTGTGAGGCAACAATCATTAAAATGAATCCTCGCACAAGATTATGGATTTGCTTCCATTAAAACATAGTTTAACGCGCATCCTAAGGATAAAAAGTCAGAGTGCGGGTGGCGCATGCGCCACCCCCCGCGCTCCCGAATCGGTGAATTATTTGGCCACCCTTTCCAAGGTACGTCGAATAATTTTCCACCACTCCCGAGAGTTGGGTGTGGGTGGCGCATGCGCCAGCCGGTCAGCCAATCAAGTTCTCCAGATTGTGATGCGGCTTTGGGGCCGGGAGTGAGGTAGGCGATAGTCCGCCGTCGGCTATATATAATCTCGACCGCCCACCCCTCGCCAAGCCGCCACCGTAGACTCTTCATCGAGCCGGTATAAAAAGGGGCGGAACGTTGGTCGGACATCTACAACCTCGCATGCTTTGGTCGGGCTAACGTCACTGGATTTGTTGATCGCGGCTTGCGTGCAAGGGTTCGACTGTGAATCGAAACAAGCGAATGTCAGCGACGACGGCCCAGCGAACAAACGTCATCGGCCGTTTCGCTATCTCATCAGTGATTAATTAACAGGCAGTCATGGCCGCGCCCGATTACGATGGACCGTACGCAATCTTTGGATGCTCGAGCCTCCATCAACTCGCCAACCTCCTAGACCGGAATGCTGATTACAGCTACGTATTCCCACCTGCTCCGTGGTCGATCCGCGCGGTCGATCCGGTCGAAGATCAGGCCGGCGCACAGTGGTCTGAAACGCAATTTTAGGTGGAAAAAACTTATATTGATCAAATTTTCCTCAGATTTTGTCCAAAAAATTATAAAAAAGTGGTACTTATTGTTTTTGGGGTCAAAGAGTTCAAAATTTATATCAATTTTTAAATTCACGTATAATTGTAAGATGCAAATAAACATAATATTTTGTTTTTTAATTGAAATTTAACTTTCGTAAACTTCTTCATTTGTTTTATAACTTAAATTTAATAATGATTTTACGTCATTGTCCAATTCATTTTTTTTTGGTATGTTGCAAATTGAGGAAATATATGGATCTGAAGTGACAAGTAAAAAGTGTAGAACGTCTTCATTTTGAGCTACTCTACTAATTTTTCGCGAGTGATGTTCGCGATAATTTTTATAGTCTTTATTTCGAGCATCCTGTGCTTCCTCGGAAAGTTGTCCTTAAAAATATTCATATTACATTAGTTAATTATAATAAAGTTTATAATGGCTTTTACGCCAAAGTCTTTGTAACACCAAAGTAAACTTTAAAATTGAATGGTTGACTAACTTAATGTGTATTGCGGTTCCCATTTTACATTTTCATACCGTGCCCTCAAAATTTCAAATAAATAGTTTCTCGATTTTAAAAAATGGGGATTTAGTGGACCTCTATTTTTTAATAGCTGATAAAAATCATTATAAGAAAAATACCGAGAATCAGTGTTATTCCAATCCAAATTGTCGTCAATTTCAGAATCATTTCTTCCAACACTGCTGCTAGAGCTACCTACAAAAAAAAATATTAAAAATACAGATGCAAATGGATGCAAACCAAATTTTGGGATCTGGTACTGAAGAACAAGTACTATATTGTATGTATATTGAATAACGATTATTATGGGTTATTTTTTAGTTATACGCTTTGAAATATCAATATTAACATTTTTTTACTACTTTTTTAACTTTGTTTTAATAGTAAAATAATAAATATTTATAATATTAATATGAAACACTTACCTAAGTTTTCGAATTCGTTACTTATATGAAACTAATTCAAAAAAAAAAAAAAAAAATTTTACCTGTGTATAATATACTAAAAAAATGTAATGTACAATCGGTGAACGATTCGACGTTTGTGAGCGCGTTATTATGTTTTACTTATCGCTTGCGCCGCTTGATAGTGTTAATATTATCTGAAACTCTATTTTTTTGTTATATAGAACTTATATATAATGGGTTAATAACATAAAATACCTATTTTTATGAATTTTAATAATTGACTTTATTCCACCTAAATTAGCTTTTAGACCACTGTGCGGCGGCCCGGATATCGGCCATATATATCGACAAGGACTAGATTACTACGGAACGCTGGTGCGCGAATCGGCGTCGTACGTCCGCTGTTACAACACTCGCATGCGGTACGGCGCGTATAAAGCTTAAGTGCTCAGGAAAGCGAGCCGAGACGGCGGCGCTGCCTCTTCCCGCTCACGTGTGCCCACAGGGTCCTCTCAAGATGTTCACCAATCCGCCGGGCTGGATGATGGGCGGTCTCTGTTGCGACGTCCGGAACGCGACCGGCTCGCCGCAGCGAACGGTGTGCGCCGGTGGGCAAGCCTGTAGTTGCGCAAACGACGAGCCGCCAGCGCCGTGGTCGCCGGGCTCCGATTATGACGCCATTATTACTACTACGAGCCTGTCCCGAGCCGGCGCCAAGTTATCCTTTCTTATCACCCGGTTGGATCCCTACTCGTGCGCCGTCGATCTCTGTTCGGCGCCGGGCGGAATGACTCAGGTACTTGTCGCTGCCGCACCGCCCAATTCGACCGTCGTCTCGCTGTCCCGCAGCGTTACGCCTACTACTCGGCGGGCATTCGCGGCGCTGGCGGTGCGCCCCGCCTTGTCTATTACGAGGAGGAGGTGAGCGAGGACCGCAGCGCGTGTCTCGTGGCCAAGATCCTGCGGGCGGCCGGCGTGCGGCCTGTCCGCTTCCTGGTCGCCGACGGTGCTGACGAGGCGTCGCACGACAAGTCGGTTGACGAGTCCCGTCGTAATGCGGCCCTAATCTTGACCGAGCTGTACGTAGGCCTCGCGACACTGGCGATCGGCGGTAGCTTGATGGTCAAGTTATTCGACGTCGTGGATACGAGGTACTGCGGTCTACTTTGGCACGCCTTCAAGCATTTCAACGAGCTGGTGTTATTCAAGCCCAACGCCAGCCACGACCGGAACAGCGAGGAGTACGCCCTATTTGTGGGGCGGCGGAACCCGGCCAGTTCGTGTACGGAGCAGGAGGACGTGCTCACCCTCAGCTACCGGCGCCGCCGGTTCAATCAGTTTCGGCGGGTCTTTATGTAAGTTATAGTTTGTTATATACCAAGGAGCATTTGTAATCATTCGCAGTGTAATATTTTGGAACGCTTGTATTGGTCTCATAGTTTAGCTGGTCCCCATATTTGTATTCCATAAGCCCATATTGGACGAATTATTGACTTGTATATAAGCAGTTTAGTCTTGAGTGACAGATTAGACTTTAGCAGAGGGCGCAAAAGATGTAGTCTGATATTTGATTTTTTCCTCTTTTCTTTGAGGTGTGGTCCCCCGGTTAGACGTTTGTCAAGAGTTAGACCAAGATATTTTGTTTCATTTTGAGTAGCGATAATTGTATTGTTAAGTATTATAGCGGGACTTATTTCCAGACGGAGGGCGAAGGTGACTTGACTGGACTTGTTTACATTGATTTTGATTTTCCAATTCCTAAACCATTTCTCACAAGCGTTAGTGTGTGATTGGAGATGGTGAGCCGCATCGTTTATATTTTTGTGACGACTTAGAATAGCTGTATCGTCAGCAAAAGTAGCTAGTAATGTGTTACAACTTTGCGGCATATCAGCAGTAAATATTTTATAAAGGTCGGGAGAAAGATCGCTACCTTGAGGGACCCCGGCCTCAATTGAGTAGTAAGATGAATAAGCACAACCTTGTCTGACAATGAATTTTCTATCTTGTAAATATGATTTTATAATGAGATATAAAGAGGCTGGAAATATTTTTTTCAATTTGAAAAGTAAACCATTGTGCCAAACTCTATCGAACGCTTGAGCGACATCAAGAAATAAGCCAGTACAATATTGCTTGTTTTCAAAAGATGAAGCGATCACATCTGTCAGTCGGTGGATTTGATGAATTGTGGAAGGCCTTGCACGAAACCCAAACTGGGTATTAGGGATTATATTGTGTTCCTGTATGACCAGTCGAATTCTTTTTAATAGTAATTTTTCAAAGAGTTTGCTCAATGTAGGCAATAAACTAATAGGCCTGTATGACATAACTAAGTTTTTTGGTTTGCCGGGCTTAGGTATGACAATAACTACGGCTATTTTCCAGATAGGGGGAAAGTAGGAAAGTCGGAGTATAGCATTATAAATAAAGATTAAAAGGAGAATACATTTTTGGAAAAGGTTCATCAATAATTTATTGGTAATAAGATCATTACCAGGAGCTTTGTCTTTAGGTAATTTTTTGATTGTCGCTTGAATTTCTCCTGGGCTGAAAGGTTTGACAGGCTTGGACATTGGCAGAGGGCTCGATAGAAAGTCATTGACCATATTAACGTGGTGTCGGGATCTTAAAAATGTACGGAGTGGTTCACTGTCATGTGCGCATATCCCTCGAATTTTTAATCATAACTCTAAAAATGTCATTTAATGAAAATACATGCGTTATTAGCCCATTTAATTGTTTTTCTTTTATAACCGTTATTCATTAGTATCACTAATCACTTTATAACAATCGCTAATTATTGTTGTTCCCGGTATAACCCAATCTCGAATAACTCTTAATAGCGTGTCTTTTTCTCGCTTCTCGACTGGAATCAAAAAGCACGAACCCTAAACTGTCTTATATCTATAAGAGAATAAAAAAAAAAAACAAAACTTTTAAGTTTATTTCCTAAAGTTAAAATTCGGTTTACCGGCGCGAATAGTCAATAATTACATTTATGTGTAGGAAAATAAAATGTAGAGGTAAGTAGTATGTTTTGGCCGTATCGAATCCTGTTATCACATTCCTGTTATCACGATCCTGGTATCACGATCTTGTTATCACGAACCTGCTATCACGATCCTGGTATCATGATCCTGGTATCACGATCCTGGTATCACGATCCTGGTATCACGATCCCGGTATCACTACTTATATCACAATCCTGTTATCACTACTGGTATCACACACACACACACACACACGATGAAGAATGCGATGACGCTGGAGGTGATAAATCGATACGCAACAATGTCGGTCGATGAGGTGTACACCGCAATGATGAATCATCCTGTACACGGATTACCGCCGCGAGAACCAAGTTATTACAAAGAAATCGCGGTCATAGAGTACAAACGGCTGTGCGACGAAATATGGGGAGAAAATGTTAATACGATGATGATGCCTACCTCACAATGGAATTTAGCAGAGTTACTTGACGGTTACACAGATAAGTAAGTAAAAAAAAAAACCTATTGATTATAATTTTAGTACATAGTAATTATAACAGGAACGACGTGTTGGAGGAGGAGGAGAAGACGAGTACTACACCAGTAATCAAGTCAGACGGTGTGAGCATTGCTCCACCACCACCACCACCGTGCGATAGTGTGGATGACCTGACGGTCGAAACCTGATAAGGTTATTTCCCGTTAGACCGCGTACAATGATAACACAAAGAAAATGGAGGGACGAAATAACCACGCACACCATATATAAACGAACACACTGAACCATTTAATCACATTCACACATACAACCAAATCAAAATGCACTACAGATATTCACCACCATCGCCGCCAAATTCGCCGCCACCGTTTAATATCAATTGGGTGCATAACGTCGACGACGATGATGATGACGACGACAACGGGTCGCCAGTGATACTACCGATGAGCGTAAGTCGATTTTATATTAAGGGAATAATTATATATATATATAAGCGTATAGTAAAAAAAAAAAATGTGAAACAGGAGGTAGACGCTTCAGCAGCGGAAGCGGTGAGGCGAATACAGCTGCGAATAGAGAGGGTGTTCTCGTTAACCGACGTAGTGGGTAAGTACATCAACCTTGGTGTGCGAGTGTATAAAACTAAATTGACCAATTACATTATCACCAGATCTAACGATGTCTTCGGAGGAGGAGGAGTGCAGTTCATCATCCACGTCGAGTGTGATGGAACTACCCGTCAGCGACGCGGAGAGCACAGACGAAGAGACTGAAAGTAGTAGCAGTGCCGGCGACGACGACGACGACACTGACGACGACGATTGTGGCCAGTCTGTTACTCAGGTAGCTCTGGGTAATGGCCATCGAATCAATTGAGCAACCAAGCGCCGTCATATCCCTCATTAAGGAGGGCCATACGAGATTGTCGAATATGTCCAACAAGGAACATAGGGCGTACCGTTCCGGAGTTTCATCAACAAAGGATAAGAGGTCCTGAATCGCATCCTCTGTAGATCGTCCCTTGGTGAAACCATACTGAAGGCCGCTAAGGTTTGGTTGAATTTCCCGAGTGATATGATCACAGATTACATATTCCACAGCCTTGGACAGCGTGGGAAGCAAGCTGATCGGTCTGTAAGATTTCGGCACCGTGGGGTCTTTTTCTGGTCCCTTCTTAATGACTACAACTTCCGCCTCTTTTCACCTGTCAGGGAAGTGGCAGTTCCGAAAGCACTCTAGAACCAAAGCGTAAAATTGGTCACCAATAATCGGCCAAGCCATGCGAGCCATTTTGGCGTTTATGCCATCCAGGCCAGGCGCCTTAGTCGGAGCGGTTCTCCAAAGAGCTAATCTCAGCAACTCCTTCGTTGCCATGATCGGGTTACGGTGTCCAGCCGGGGCAGGAAGAGCAGGCGGGGCGACATCATGCGGAATAAGTGTGTCCATTAGGAGATGAACGGTCTCAGTCGCATTGGTCGTCAAAGTCCCGTCGGTGCGCTGTAGGGCTCTCAAGATTGATGACTCTTTTGAGCCCTTCTTGAGCCATCTGTAAAGTTTGCCCCACGGGTTGGTACCATCCGCTGAGCAGAATGACCTCCACGATTGAATCTTCGACTTGCGCAGTAGTGCAGTGAATTGGTTACTCAATTCCCGGTAGTCGGCCATACTAGCATCGTCACGGGGATCTCGGAGCCTCGCTACTCGCTTAAGTTCCGCTCGCTTGGCAGTGAGCTCCCTAGTCCACCAGGGGGGCGTACATTTCCTACGTGATAAAACTCTCCTAGATGAGACCTTTGCTGCATTCCCAATTGCATTTGTGAGGAGTAAGACCTTATCGTCTATGTCACCCTCGTCGAAGACGATTGACCTCAGGGCAAGAGTTCCCATGACGGTAGTTCGAAATGTGTCCCAGTCAATGCGCTCCGATCTGAGTCGCTTAGGTCTGCTGGCGGCAGCCGTGGGCGAGACGGAACATTTCCAGGTGATAATCGAATGATCACTAACTGTCTCATTGGGTATCACCGTCCAATCGGACAGGCGACTGAAAATCTCATCTGTGGCGAGCGTGACATCAATATTTGTCCTACCCCGGGCACCATAAAAGGTGAATACGGGATTGGAGACATTGACGATGTTGAGACGATTATGTCTAAGGAAGTCCTCCACTACCTCACCACGGGCGTCTGTGATGCGGCTAAACCACAACCGTGAGAAGGCGTTGACATCCGCCGCAATAATGTATTCACCTTGAATGTTGTCGACGATTCTTTGGAGGCCTGCCACATGCTCAGCTGTCGGCGAACGAAACTTAAAATATGCCGATATTAGAGTTAACGTTAAGTCATCGCACTTCATAGTGACAACAGTAGAGTTCTGAGTAGTAAGGTTATCCCTGGACAGCAGTCTAAATCACGGATTTAGGATGGCAATAGCCGAACCATGTACAACGGCATTAGACCCCGGTCTGGTTTCGCCTAAACTAAGGGCTACCCTGATGGGGTGGGCTTCCCACCCGATGAGACGACCACGGTAGGTATACGGCTCTTAAAGCATTACAATGTCCACATTATTGTTTTGAGAATAAGACAGCAGTTGATCATTTACGGCTGCCGTTCTAGCCGCGTTGTGCTGAACAATGTGTATTGTTGCAGCCATTAAACAGTGGTTTTTTTGTAGATGGTGCGCCTTAGTAAACTAGCGATGGATGCTGTCCTAGAGGAGCAGGTAGGGTCCCTTGCACTGTGCTTGCCTTTGCAATTGGCACATTTTGGGTCGGAGGAGGTTGACGGGCAGTTTTCCTTAATATGCCCCACTAAAGAGCAATGAGAACACTTTTGTTCGCTTTGGCATTTAGATCCCACATGGTTGAAGCCAAGACATTTAAAGCACTGAGTTACTTCCTCGAATTTGCTTGTGGAACACGAGAAGCAACCGATGTAAAGATTTGCGAAGTTACTTTTTTCAAAGAGATCGTAGAGGTCCGGATGGCACTCACAGATCCAATGCACGGTGAGTTGATCTTTTGGACGCTTAAAGACCGGTTTAATCCAGTGGTTGGCCGCATTAGGGTCCATGCTCAGATGGGGATTCTGGCTTGCGATTGCCACGACAAGTTCGTCCGCTGAAAGACTGGCATCGACGTTGCGTATTAATATTCGCGGGAAGCGTACAGTCTCAGGAGTCATTAGGTGCTGGAGCTCATTGGCCACCTTAGCCAGTGCCTCTTTGGTATCCTCATCGACTGCTTTGATAAGCACTTTTCCAGATTTAGTCGTCCTCATATCAAGCTTGGCCGCCATATGATATTTTTGCACGGATTTAAAGATTTGTGCCCCCATGGAGGAGGTGCCGGTAGTTGTCTTATTTGCAGTAAGCTGATAGGTCGGAGTTGGGGATAGGGCTCTATTCTGGGCTAGTTTTTCAGACCTTTTAGCTACACGCGACTTCGATCTATTGTCCTTCCTGGAGACAGAACGTGCGCTCTTTGATTCCGGGGCCTTTATCGATTTGCGGCTCCTATCGGCTACAGGGTTGTCGGTCCCCATGGCAACTTGACTGTAAGACGGGTTGGGTCTCTCCTTTGGCCGTTCCATAATTTGCACTTTTAGAGCCTCTATCTCGGTTTGCTTAATGGCAATTTCGCTAGCAAATTGTTTAACGAGCACGCTGACCGTGTCGTTAACAACAAGGGGACTAGGTTCCTCCAGTTTACGAGCTTCTGCTAAAATTTGCTCCAGATGCCTAGTAACTTGCTGGCTCGTTTCTTCACTTATTTTCATTTTCAGGAGTCTCTCGTCATCAAAAGCACGCCGGATCCATCCGCACGAGTCCAGTATGGCTTGAAATCCACCTGGTTGCAATTTGGCTTTTTTGCTGGTGTGAGCCGAATTTGGGCTCAGCATGTTGACGTCAGTCGTTGGAGACGATCTACTAGCCATAGTTAACTACGAATCGCGGTTCGTTTCTAAAAGAAATTGACCCCGCCGAGGGGCAAAAACACCGCACTTTTACACTACTGATGAGTAAAATATGAGTTTGCCGGAAAAAGACGGTAAATCAAAGGGGGATGATCCTTAAGGGTCGATTCTTTCCGCGCGCGCTAGGAACGCTATACCGAGCGCACCTACCAAGTGGTGGTCCTATGAGACCAAAATTGGGGGGGGGGAGACCGGTCCTTGTGGTAGGGTCTTAGGGCCTCGCAAGTGGTGCGGGCTTAAAGAGCACTATAAACCAAAGTTTTTGGCGTTTACTAGGGTACGCTGAGTTAATTTGCCTAGGAGTTATAGCGGTTTGAAAACCGCAAAAAGTGGGGGGGAGGGGTCAACTTTCAGTATGTAGTGGGCCTCTACCGGGCCTACTCGATACCGTTTACCCGAGGAGCGCTCGCGCAGTGGTTTTTGAGTATTTCCACTTTAAGTGATCCGGGGGGTAGGGTAAATTGAAAAAACTTGTAAAACACCAATGTTCGGGTTCAGGGGCGACCGGACACCCTGTATATTAACAATAGTGTCACTCGGTACACTATCGACATATGATAACACGAATAACCGAAAAAACTCGATGCGTCAAGGTTTTGATACACCCTGTATATTGAAAAAGCTGTCACCCTGTATCAGGGGTTTTGGCGAGATTTAAATAATAAAATGGCCGGCGATGGCCGCCGGTCAGCAACGAGTTGCCGTTAGTACAAGCACCGGAAACCACGTTTTCTTACCTGTTGATCGTCATGCAAGTGAGTACATATGAACTAAAAACAGAGCTAACTAGAGAGGTAATTATCATTAAGGCTCGAAACCGACGCCAAAACGAACGCGCACTTTTTATAAACCTGTTGGAATGTTCCGCTTAAAAAACGGGACACACGCCTGTCGGGAATCGACAAAAACGATCGGGAGTAACGTAAAACACGTGCACTCTCGACCGCTGTACAGCTGGCACTGAGCAGTACGACTTGCTCCGAAGGCCGATGAATAATAGGACGATGTTACCACCAGCATCGTCCTTCATCTTCCATAAAAGCATTTTGTTGACCAAAGGCATTCCGTATGGGTTGTCCGGACTGAAGTTGCTGGTACGTACCTGGATAAAAAAAAATAAACCCATTAGTTTGTGTGAATGACCGGCAAAGCGGTCCGTGCATACTTGTCGATATCAGCCTTCATGTCAGCATAAAAATCGTCGGTTTCAACCCAATAAAACAGACTATCCGTGTCTCCATAGATGACACGCGCTTTAGAGCCATATTTGGGTACCATGTACCCGTAATGGAAGTCGTACAGAATGTATTTTGACAGCTCCAGCACGGCGAAACCCGCGTATGACGGCCGGTCGTACTTGATAACCAATTTGGTCATCTGCACGGCCGCCATGGACGGGGTAAAGATCGCCACGCTGTCGAACGTGGGTTTAGCTATCAAAACACCGGCTCCTAGTCTCTGCTTGTCGTTTCTCCAGCGCGTGACAATGTGCACTTTGGTTCGTTTTTCAGGGTTCTCGAGCGCCTTGCCGTAAACCGAGTTCGACATCAGTTTTGCAAGTTGCCCTCGAACTTCGTCCTGGTCGCAGCGCGCAATCTCGTGTTCGTTTCGATGAACGGACGGATCCAAGCACGCTGCCGAAACCGAAGTGCGCTATGGATTCTCCGGAGAACCACCCCGTTGGTAACGCCTTGCTGTAAGCACTTGTAATGAGTGACGTATCTGAAACAATAAAAATCGATAAATATTCCCGTTGCCCACACACACACACACACATTTTCGGCGGTCGTGGACGGCGTGCAGATATTCGAGGTCTACCTCCACAAAATAGCCGAATTCCGCATCGTCCGAAACAGTGAGGGGGTCAAAAGTGGCGAGGTCCGCGGGGGTCAAGAAATGGAACTCACCAATCGGAAGGGGAAGGCTCATCGCGCACCCGTAAAGGTTATTTTCGTCTAACTGCATGATGTACGATGGCTCTTCCGTCGGGTCAAAGTCGTCCATATACTTATTGTTGGCCTTTGCATTGGACTAACTCCCCGCGGATGTTTTTCATGACGTATTGCACCTGATCGTGCTCCGTCATGAGCTCTATTTTGACCCCTGTCATTAGCTTCATCGCATCCCAGGCTAACGAAGGGGTCGTCAGATACGCAGCTGG